AACCCCTAAAAAAAAAAAAAAAAAAAAGCTACGGATTTTTGTATTGAACAGACTAAGATAGAATTGAAGAAAGCAATCCTAGTTACAATAACCACAAAATGAACAAAATACTTCAGAATAAACCTAACCAAAGAACTGAAAAAAACTTTAAAGAAAAAACTGAAAAAAGGAATGGAGAATGGTACCAAAAAATAGCAAGACATTCCATGTTCTTGGGTTGGAGGAATCAATATAATGAAAATGTCAGTTCTACTCCAATTAATTTACATATTCAATGTGATTTCAATCAAATTCCTGGTGACATTCTTCACAAAAGTAGAAAAAAATTATGAAATTTGTCTGGAATCAAAAAAGACCCTGTATCGTCAAAGGAACACTATACAAATATAAAGTAGGAGGCATCTCACTACCTGACTTCAAAATAAAATATATTACAAAGCAGTGATGATTAAACAGCATGGTACTGACACAAAAATAAATACATAATCAATGGAACAGAATCCAGAATAAACTCCAAATCATGCAGTCCACTGATCTTTGACAAAGGTACACAACAATGCAGTGAGGTAAAGAATCTTTTGAGCAAGTGGTAGTAAAAGAACTGGATATCTACCTGCAGAAAAATGAAACTGAACCCATGTATTTCACCATTAACAAGAATCAACTCAAAATGGATCACAAATTTAAATGTAAAGCCTGAAACTTTAAAACTATTGGTAGAAAACCTAGGGGAAATTCTTGAAGACATTGGAGTAAGCAAAGATTTCTTAAATGAAACTCCTAAAGCACAGGCAATAATAGGTAAGTGGGGTTACATCAAGCTAAAAAAACTTCACAGCAAAGGAGACAACAATGAGAATGAAAAGACAACCCTCAGAATAGAAGAAAACATTAAGATGTCGGAAAAGTCATGATGCATATTTGCATTGAAAAATTAGAATATATCATGACTTTTCACCCCCCTCCCCAATATTTGCACATTATTCCTCAGACAAGAGACTGATTACCAGAATATATAGGAACTCGGGGACAGGAGGTAGCATGGTGGATAAGGGCTGAACTCCCACGTGGTTGACCATAGTTTGACAGCTTGAAAAATCACAGATGTGTGTGCATGTGTGCCCAAAATCCTGACAGGAGACTGGAGGCAAAGGGATGGTAGCATAGCCATCACTCTGTGGGGTGATTTCTTACTTTCCCTATTTCTCTCTGTGTGTCCCTCTCCAGTGGGCACATGTACTCTATGGCAAAAATCTTTAACAAGAAAAAAAGAAGGAAGAAAGAAAGAAAGAAAGAAAGAAAGAAAGAAAGAAAGAAAGAAAGAAAGAAAGAAAGACAGAAAGGAGGGAGGGAGGGAGGGAGGGGGAAGGAGAAGGGAGGGGAAGAGAAAGAAAGATGAAAGAAAGAAAGAAAGAAAGAAAGAAAGAAAGAAAGAAAGAAAGAAAGAAAGAAAGAAAGAAAGG